ACCGAAAGCTGCCGTGATCCATTGAGAACTGGTGACACTGGCCGGACGAGCGTGGATCTCTTGATGAAAACCATATATGAAATGAATGGATAAGGAGATTGCAAAGCTATAGCTACGTGGTTTTTTTTTTCCAGTTTTATATATCATCACCTGCATGGATCATGCGATGAGCCGATGGAGCGATGGGAGGTATAGACCGTGGAACCTGGACGTACTGGCTTCACGGGATGAGTAAAAAATGAATCCCACCTTACAGTCACTTTAATGCTAGAAAGCACTAGCTGGAAATACGTGCATAAACGTTTTGAATTGTTAAAGAGATTGAAAAGATGACGACCTAAATTTCATGGGAACTTTTGGATCTCAAACTGGCAGCCGACCATGCTTGCAATTCACCTGAGCTCCACCAGTATTAACGTCACTCCTGGCTCTCCAAGGCTTATAAGAAGATGGAAGATCCTGGGCAAACGTGCCCCCATCCCTTGCAAAAGGAAAAATATTAGTATATAAATAATGGGATTATAACTATTACTTTCGAGAGAAGATCTATCGCGCTTGTGATCAGTTGTGGATGAATAAAGGAGTGAAGATGGACTTCACATGGGCAGCAAATGAATTGTGCAAAGAGAGAGCCTGGTATTTGCAAGAGGAAGAGCTCCTCTACAAGCTCTTTGGCGAAGTGGATAGCTAATGATGACGAGGAAGGCTGGGAGCATGTTTCTGAGGGTGGAAAGACGAGTTCCATGGACGAGGAGTTCATGCAAGAAGAGGAGGAGCTTTCCTCGCTCTTTGGGGAAGTGGCCTGGAAGGCAAACCATGAAGTGGGCGATGAAGAAGAAAACTCAGCGATTCTAAGAGAGGTGATGGAGTTGCTTGGTCTCACAAGCAAAAGGATTTACATTTGTTCATACCTGAAAAGCAAATGGATTGGAATCTTGCCTCTGATAGGACACCTGTAGAATTGTGTTTTTCTCTAGAGTGATTTCCTAGAAACATAATGAGTCGGTTTGTAAGCCAGCAAATCCAGCTTAGTCCAAAGAAAACTTTCAAGAGCAAATTTTTTTCTCTAGACTCAGATGATTATCAACAGTGGCGATTTTGATCGCGTTCCCCAGCCAAGAGAACGCTGAGAATTTACTGGATCATCTAGGTTCTCTGTGAATGCAACCAGAAATTCCTGCAGATTTCTCACACAAGAAATGTACTGAACTTTTACTTAATACCTTTAGAACCCTCAGGCAGCAAAGCGCGTGAGTGTTTCTCCATCCTTTCCCACCCTAGTGACAGTTCTTCAGGGAAGACGAGGCAGCGCTTCAAAGTCCCGATGTCTTTGTCACGGGCAGCACCCGGGACCTGGAGGCCGGGAAGCTTATTCACGCTGCTTGCATCCGAGATCGCAGCCACACGCTAGCACCGCCACTCACTTGCCGACTTCGACTCCATTCTCGACTGCTGCTACGCCACTGCTGTCCCCTGGAACGCCCTCATGCTCCGCTACACGGACAGCGGCCAGGGAGAGCTTGCCCTCGACCTCTTCTCGAAGATGGAGTCCGACTACAGCCTGCCACCCAGGAACCTTTGTGCCCGCTCTCAAAGCTTGCACCAGCGTCGTGGCCAAGGAAGACGAGCAACCTATACTCGGGCCGAGAACAAGGTGGTGGTGACAGGAGCCTCGAACGGGGCATGGAAATCCACTCCCGAGCTGTGACTTCCGGCTGTGAGTTCCTTGGCTAAGACATGTACTCCAAGTGTGACAGCCTGCTCGATGCTCGGATGGTCTTCGACAGGATGGCGGGGTGGACTGTGGTGTCGTGGAACTCGTTGATTAGCGGCTATGCAGAGAGAGGCGAGGAAGAGCTCGCTCTGGAACTTTCTGGTCCATGGAAGCTCAGGGCTTCTCCCCGGATGATAGAAGCTTCATGGCCGTTCTCAAAGCGTGTAACAAGGACACCGGCCAGGAGATCCACGACAGGCTCGTCAAAGTGAAGTGTCTTGGCTGTGGCATGGCCTTGCACTTGAAAGCTACTCCAAGTGGCTTTGACGGTAACTTGTTCGTTGCCAGCTCCCTTGGGCGGCAGGTACTCCGAGTGTGGCAGCATACTCATACTTTTGGCCAGCCCTCACGCTCGGCTACATTGAAAACTGTGACGAGATGGCTCTGGAAGTCTTCGACTGCTTGCAAGACCAGGAGGCCTACTCCATCGTCAACTCCCTCACCTTCATGGCTGCTCTCAGGGCCTGCATTGGTCTTGTGTTGAGGGAGCCGGATGAGAACTCGATGGAAGGATTGTGAAGCTAGAATCGCTGTCCAGAGGCAAACGCATCCACGCACAAGCTGTAAGCTGCCGCTGCGACTCGGATACCATGGTGGCCAGCACGCTGGTGGACATGTACGCCAGGTGTGATGCCTGGTCGATGCCAGGAGGGTCTTGGCTTGTAGAACAGTGGTGTCGTCGAACGTCCTGTTGCTCGGCTACGCAGAGAATAACGAGGTCGAGCTTGGCCTCGACTTGTTCTCTCGGATGATTGCTGGTAGTGACGAAAGAATCGCACCGGATTCTCGATCTTTTGTCACAGCTCTCAAAGCCTGCACTCTCGTCGTGGTGAAAGAGGAAGGGCAGAAAGTCGACGGCAATGGAAGTAGGAATGGCAATCCACTCCCAGGGACTTGTCACAGACGTGTTTGGAGCCAGCACGTTCGTTCACATGTATGGCCAAGTGTGGAAGCTGCAGGCCTTCGATAAAATCCCAAGCCCGGACATGGGTCGCTTATCCTAAGTTACTCAGAAGATGACGAGCCCCAGCTGACACTGGAGCTCTTCTTGCAAATGCAGCACTTCCAGATCCTCCCAAACCCCCTTTCATGGCTGCTCTCAAGGTGTGCACAAAGTTGGTGGCATTGGGACTCATCTGTTCCACAGCACAAAGAAGAGCTGGATCGAACAACAGCAAAAGTGAGTTTGATGGAAAGTGGTGCCTGAACAGGAAGTAATCAAAAGCTATTCTGGTGATGAAGAAAATCCAGCTCGAATGTGTAAATGGTGCAAGCTATCCATTGTGTGGTTAAACACACACTGTAAAGTTTATGTAAACAAACTATGAAACATCTTGTAGCCATGTGATGAGACATTCCTGATAAATGTCTCAATGGATAACTCACCAAGTAATATTAGAATAATTTTTAAAGCTCAAAAAACAGTATGTTAGAAATGTGAGCACATCATAGTTTAGTGATCTTTCCTACAGAAGAAATCGGTGTCCCATGCCTCGCTTCCAACGCAGTTGCGGCACGCCAGCACGTCATGGGGATCAACCAGCGCCTTGATCTCGACAAGCCTCTCGTAGTGCTCACCGAAGAACGACGTCTGCCAATCCGGCTCGTTGTAATCGCCCTCGTTCATGTAGCTCCCAGACTCCGGTGCCAAGTCTCTAAACACCTGGTTCGCATTCGTGATGTCCACAAACTTGTGCTGGATCACATCGTCGCTTGCATCGTCGTCCCACACGGCCTGGATGATAGTGTGCCACAGGGCCTTCCTCCACGCAGGATTCAGCGCAGCACTGTGCTCGTCACCCAGAGCTCCAGCTCCACCACCAACGCTCATGGTGAGGATGAAGTTCCTGGCGCCGTTGCTCGAGTTCCTGGTGAGGATGTCCATGTAGGCGTCGGCGATGGCGTCCGGGGAGTTGACAAACAGCGACCTGGGAAGAAGCCTGCTGGCCAGGATCTCGTTGGTTCCCGTCAGGTCCGTGCACTGCGTTTTAAACCTGTTGCACAGGGTGGCGTTGAAGAAGGCATAGAAGTTTGGAAACATGGTGACTCTCTGGAGCACGTTGAGCCCGGGGTGGCTGGCCGCGAAGTCCACCAGTGGCTGCCAGTCCTGCTGTGCTGCGCTCTGGTTGCCTCCAGGGAGAACGTAGTTCAAGTGACCGGCATTGGGAAGGGCGGCAAAGCTTCCTCCATATCCCTTGTCTGCGATGGATGGCATGAGCCTGGCGTACTCGGCGATGAAGTCCCTCAGGCTGGAAGAATCGTTGGCTGAGACCTCGTGGTGGACGTTGGTGACAGCTGCCGGTGCCGGGTGTGTCCTGTAAGTGACGCTGAGAACCACGCCAAACGTTGCCGGGCCGCCACCCCGGAGAGCCCAGAAGAGATCCTTGTTCTGGCACTCGTTGGCCACGAAGTAGCTTCCATCAGGTGTCACCACGTTGATCTCGAGGATGTTGTCGGCTGGGAGGCCATAAGTTGGCGCAAGAACGCTGTGTCCACCACCTCCGACGTATCCTCCCGCAGCACCAACACTGGGAGGGTCAAAAGCTCAAGTTGGATCATCAAGAGAAATTCAAGAGAGATAACTTACCTCGCACTGAAGGCACCAATGACGATTTTGTTTTGCGCAGCAACAGCCTTGTACAATTCTCCAAACTGGACGCCAGCTCCCACAGTCACGGCCGACACTTGGCCGTCTTTGCTGTCGAATGGACACTGGAATCGTTCGAAGTTGTCCGAGAAATCGATCGTCTTGAGGTTGTGAGTCCAGATGCTGAGAGCACCTCTCCCGTCACTGCGTCCAAGGTAGTCGTGGCCAGTGTTCTTGACAATCACACGGATGTGGTGCTTGGTGGCAAAAGCAAAAGCCTTGGACACATCATCGGCCTGGCGCACGTCCACGGCATAGATTGGAACAGCACCCTGGTAGCAAGTGTCGCTAGCGTTGATGAGGCACTTCTGCTGCTTGAACGAGTCCCACTGGGGATGCTGAGAAGCGCCAACTTGGTCCGACCTCCACAGTGCATCGGTCCACTTTGTTTTGGCAACTTTGCAGGCTGCTTCGTCATAGTGTGGATCGTGGCACGGATACGCAGCTGGCCTGGAAGAGAAAGGAGAAAAGAAGTGTGTGTTTCCAATGAATCAGAATGTTGAAGAGGACTCTTTACCTTGCTTGGATCAGTCGACCACCAATGTCCTTGCTGAAAGAATGCCAAACTGGAGGAGATGGGAAGCATCGTTGGTGAGGCAAGCAATAGCAGTGAGTGTGACAGCGACCTGCAGCTGCAAAACAGAATGAAGCTACAGCAATGAGGCACGAAATGAGGAGAAACCGGGAAGTGAATTCCATTGCTGCGTGAGACAGCCTCAAAAGATCAATTTATACCATCACGGTGAAATAATCCTGTAATCGTGACACCTGATTTAGCTCTCGAGACGAAAATATGAACGTGTACCTGAATCTGGATGTGGATCGAAATATCTCAAAAACAATTATAATACATCGAGCTCTCAGCTAACAATCTTTTATTTCCAAATGATGTTTATCCTGCTCGCGTGGATTTAGAATGTTGTAACATTGCCGCCTTGGAGCCTAAAGAGCATGGCCACAAAACAAAGTCAGTTCCCAAAGTTGGCACACTGGCTTACCCGGGTCTGTGTCTGTTTCAGCCATATATGTATCGTCTCGAGCTTTGCTAGAGGATCCTCAAGGAGACACTTGCTTGAACTGTTTCCTCTGAGGTATCTGCTGTAAAAACCATCCCTGCTTACGTTAACCATGAAAAACCGTATGCTACGTCCACAAGGATCGCCAGAAGGATTCCTGGTCCTAAAGTTGAGGCAAGGACGATAGCGGCACCCCAGCCAGTCGGCGAAAGTCTTCACTGGGTGCTCCAAGTCTCTAGGAGAAATGAAGCCCCTGCTCACTTGGACAACGTACCCCCATGCGCTCCCCTGGTTGTAGCAGAACGACTGTTGAAGAACAGCTGATGGATTCGACTGGATTGCAGTGGAGAGATGGTCCAGCGCCTCCATTCGACTCATCCCGGGAAATATTGGATTGAATCCGTCTATGTGATGCAGACTAACCAGCGGAGAGTGGGGATGTGAAGCCAAGAAACTTATAACATCTCCGTGCAAGTCCATCTAGGAGAAAGGATAAATGAGTGAACTGATCATTAGGAATAAAGCGGATTTCTTACCTGATGGAATCCTTTCTCAATTGTCAATGGCACACCGAGCTCTGCCATGCAAGCTTGCAGCTTCCCATCGACACCCCAGACATGATAGTTCCTTCTGATGCAATCGTCCTGGATTTTCTCTAGTGCTTCCACCAGCGCGTAGCTCATTGCAATTCCTGCTCCCCCGAACGCCATGCTGGTTGAGAAGCCCAGCACACTCTGGTGATGACTCTCAGATAAGCCACCTATGTAGTAAAACTCCCGGTGATCATACCTCGAGAGAACCTGGACAAGGTTGTCGAGCGCAAAGAAGGTGTCGTCGTCGGAGAGAACGAACCAATGCACCCGAGAGAAGTTCAACCGGAACAACTCTGACGAAAGCCTTGTAATCCTAATGTGATCCTCATGTGTTTCCCCCTGGCTCTAAACATTGCTGATAGCTTCGCGTTGTCCGAAACTCTGACCGGAGGTAGAGAGCTGTCCTTCATGTTAGGTACCCGTCTGTCCAGTGAAACAATACCTCGCGTCTCGTTTGGTCTCCACCAAAGCTTTATGTATCTTTTCCTGTGTTCCCAAGTACGAGAGCTGGCTCCTATTCCAAACACGATGTTTTCCAAACTGGTCACGCCACCTAAGCTGCCAGTCTCTAAACTCCGTGGAAGAAGAGGCTGCAAACGCTGAGTAATAATCATGTAACAGCTTACAAGAGCTGTAATTCCAACTGCACAAGAGAACAGCTTTGTTACATCCATGGAGCCACAAAACGACTCACTCGAAGTTACCTTAAGAGTAGAATCACACGCTTTCGACATGATCACACTGATAAGTGTGAATCACATACCACTACGTCACCTGCACATCAGAGTGACATTTCGTAAGCGTACGCAAGCGATCATGAAAGTTAGCATGTTAAGGAATAAAAAACGTTTCAACAATCCTTGATCTCTAGCTCATGTTCATTTTGCTTAGAAGGCTCGCGAATGCTGCAGCATTGTCTTCTTAAGGCCTAAGTAAAAGACAAATAAGTAAACAGAAACACGAGAAAAGTGCACTTACTCGGTACTGGCTGCGTTGTTTTCTTACACGAATTATCTCGAGGCGTGACAAAGGATCTCTATCTTCGCAGCTGCCTGCGCCTGTCCTCTTGAAATAGTTGCTGTCTAGACCATCCTGGCTGACGTTGAGCATAAAGAATGAAACGGTGCTCAAGCAGGGATCGCTGCGATCGATCTGTCTTGTCTTAAAGTTAAGGCAAGAACCTGCAGTACAGCCAAACCACTCCACAAAAGTTCTGGACGGATACTCCAGCTCTCTGGGAGATACATAGCCCCTGTTGACTTGCACGACAAATCCCCAAGACACTTTCAGCGTCCAGTCGTAGACATCGTTGTAGCAAAAAGACTGCTGTAAGACGGCAGAAGGATCAGCCCGAATGGCAAGCGAAAGATGAGCCAACGCTTGAATCCGATTCATTCCTGGGAAAATAGGATCGACCGTATCCAAGTGGTGCAATGAAACCAACGGAGTAGTCGGGTGAGAGTCGAGCAACCCGATAGCATCTCCACGAATGTCCATCTGCTAGAGCACGAAAGTTTTGAGGAGCTCGAGCAGCCAGCCATTTACCTGATGAAATCCTCTGTCCAACGTCAGTGGCACGCCAAGTTCTGCCATGCAAGCTTGTAGCTTGCCGTCGACACCCCATACGTGATCGTTCCTCCTAATGCAGTCGTCCTGCATTTTCTCGAGCGCTTCCACAAGTGAGTAGCTCAGTGCAATCCCAGCACCCCCGAAAGCCATGTTTGTCGAGAACCCTGTAACACTCTGGTAGTGGCTCTCCGAAAAAGCACCGATGTAGTAAAACTGACTGTGGTCGTACTTGGAGAGAACCCGAGCGAGATTGTCCACGACGAAGAAGGTGTCGTCGTCTGAAAGAACGAACCAATGCACCCCGAAAAACTTGAGCCGGAACAACTCCGAAGGAAGCCTCGAGACTCTAATCTGGTCCTTCATCTGCTGGTCCGTCAAGGTGAAGTTTCTCGAAAGCTCGTTGTTGTCGACGACTTGGAGCGGAGGTAGCGATCCATCGTGCATGTCTCGCACAGCGCTGTCCAGCGAGACCACCCCTCTCGTTTGATTCGGCCGCCACCAAAGCCTCACGTAGTTCTTCCTGTGATCCCAAGTCTGTGACCCTGCTCCGATCCCAAACATTATATTCTCCACTTTGGTCGTGCTGCTGCTGCTGCTGCCGCTCCTAAGATGGCGATCGCAGAAATAGCCACGGTAGAGCTTCTGTGAAGAGAAGTTAGTTCCCAAGAGAACAAGGACGCAGCTTGTAGCAAGAAGAATTATCGTTGCAAAGAACAACTGCCTGGCAGCCATGATGCACGAAACATTCTACCCAGAAAGACAAAGATTTGTAGCCATCGCTGGAAGAACCAAATGCCTGGCAGCACGGATGGGCAGGAAGCTAGAAACCATTCTACAAGGAAGAGAGGCCGGTAGAGAAATCAGCTACTTTTAAAAGGACTCTTTGCCGCGCTACTTTAGGAGATGAGAAGAAGAGAAACTCTCTGGCCAAAACTCGCAAGCAAACGAGCAAAAACACTCTACGCAAGAGTTCGAAACTTACTTGTGGAGTTTCCAAAACGAGCTTCCCTTTTTCCTGGAAAACAACAAAAACGGAGATTCTGTATCGCGATCCATCTCGAAAATATCGTGCCGATCGGCAAAATGCGGCTTCGAATCACTCCAAAACCCCGCGGCTCTAGAGCGCGTTCCATCGACTATAAATCCCCTCCCTACCAGCAATGGATCGTGCTCTAGAACAGCCTTACCCTCCCTAGCGATCAATCGCGCAAAACTTCGCTATCAAGATCCATGGCGCTAAAACCCTCAGCTATCATAGCCCTAAAATATCAATTCTCTACTCTCAACTCCATCGTTGCCCCGTGCTTTTGTATCGTACAACACTGCCTCCTAGGAGCCTGGTAAAACCAAACTTCACTCGGGATTAAAAAGTAAAGTTAACTTTACCTCTAGCAGCCATGGATCCGGAGTTATATCCTTGACCACGCGTATAGTTTTCACCATGGATAAATCCTTCTCCGAGCGTAAGCACTTCCACCGTGTCCTCTCTTCCCGCGCATAGCTACTGCTTGACTTCCCGCCTTCGAGCCCCGTTGACCGGGTCAAATAAAAGTTGACCGGCCGGTCACACAGGTCCACCGGGTTCTCTCTCGTCGTGAAGGCAATCCCCACGCGATCACGGTCGCGGTGCCACCCAGAGAATGTTCTCACTGGAAGCTCCAAATCCTTCTCTGGAACCTCTCCCTGGTGGATCTGGACGACGAATCCCCAAGACACTTTGATCGTCCAGTTCCGATCGGGATCATAGCAGAAGGATTGCTGGAGCAAGCCCATCGGATCCACCCCGTGCGCGCTCCCGATCAGATGCTTGACGCTCTCGATCCTCCCCATCCTTGGGAAGAATGGATCCAGGAGCTCGATGTGGTGGAGCGAGACGAGCGGCGTCAGAGGGTGCGAGGAGAGCAATCCAGAGGCGTCGTCCAGCACGTCAAACTGGTGGAATCCACGCTCCACCGTGAGTGGAACCCCCAATTCCGCCACACAGGCGTGGATCCGAGCGTCCGCGCTATACAATCCATGGTATCTCTCCAGGCAATAGTCCAAGACCTTGTCAAGCTCCTCCGCGAGCGCGTAGCTTATCGCGAATCCGGCGCCTCCGTACGCCATGTTTGTCGAGAATCCATCCACGTTTTGGAAGTGGCTCTCGGAGATTGATCCAATGTAGTACGGTTGCCGGTGGTCGTACTTTGCGAGAACTTTCGCCAAGTTTCCGGGGACAAACACCGTGTCATCGTCGCCCATGACGAACCAGCGAACGTCTCCCAGCCCAAGGCGAAACATCTCCGAGACAATCCTTGCTATGCGGATGTGGTGCCTTCCATTCGATGGTGATCTTCCGTACGTGTATCGAAACTTGGAGGTGTCACTGGAAACTTTGATCTCGGGTAACGTGTCCTGGTCCGGTAGAGTGGAATTCACTGCTTCGTCCAGCCAAACGAAGCCTCTCATTCGATCCTCCGGCCTCCACCATGCCTTGACGAGTTCTTTGCGCGAATCCCACATCGCGGCGTTGGAGCTGATCCCAAACACAATGTTCGTGAGATTGGTGGCTCCAAAATCGCGATCCACGTCTTGTTTGATCGTATGCAATCGTGTTCTTGAGTTGAAATTCACGTAGTGCCTCACGGTGAGATGGACGGTCACAGCGTACAAAAGAAGAACTCCATACGCTAGAACAAGGAGAACGATCATCCCAGAAAATATCACTTCTTTCTTCTTCATCGCAATCGAAATACTATCACTATGGAAAGGTTACTGTATTTTTATAGTTTGCTATTAATATAAGCTCTAGCACAAGGTCACCGGTTCGAACCCCAGGAAGTACCCCTCTGTTTTTAGGGTTCTTAGCTTCCAAGCTTGAATGCGTCGACGAAGAGACCAAAGGAGAGGCCGGCTTTCCAGTAATTCAGCATTCTCACCAGGAATCGCAGCTTCTCCGTCACGGGCGGCATCTTATACATAAGAAATCCAATGCCTTCGATCACAGCCACGATGATCGCGGCCACCAGCACGTCCCAGTCCCCCGTTTGCCCCAGCACCGTGGCCAGCGCGTTGGCCGAGTAGAATCCCAGCAGCAGCAAGAACACTTTGAGCGGCAAATTGCGTCGGATCTCCCGGAATCGCTCCAGCAGATCGATCCTTCTCGCTTCCAGCAGCTGCCCGAGACGAGTGGAGATGGGATTATTGCCGCTCCCGCGTCTTCTCAGTGGATCCTCGCTGAATCCGTTGCTGCTACTGGCGCCATCGGTTCGTAGGGTTCTCGTGACGATGCTGGATCGCTGGTGTGGACGAATCGGGGGATAGTAGAGCAGGATTGGGGAAGAACAGACAAATGCCGCCATGCGATCCCAAAAACCCTAGCCAGGGAAGAACCCTAGCGAAGAATGTGCCATGGCGCTGCTAGCCGGCGCCATTCCGGTGGCGATCGCGAGCTCATCCTCGACATCTTTAGCTCCGGTTTCTTGCAGCGCGCAGGCCGTCCAGCAAAATGTGAGCTTCCGGAAGAATGCCAGTGCCACTGCTGCCGAGGAGCAAATATTATCAGGCCAGAGACCAGGTAAGAAATCTCGATACAGGAGGAAGAGGAAATCGCAGGAGCGGCAGCCTGGCGAGCTCGATCCTCCAGTCAACATTGCAGTAGTGGATGAAGACTCAGTGACAGAGATTTGCAAGCTTCTCGAATCGAGGCTTCCGGAAGGAATTCTGGTGGGGAGTCTAGCCGCATTCCAAGGCCTCTACTTCAGCCACATTGCAGTGTGCAAGATCTTGCAAAGAACGAAAGATCCAGATGTTGCTCTTGCGTTCTTCCAGTGGCTAACCAGAGAAGCTTGCTACAAGCCCAACACGGTGGCATACAATTGCCTGCTCAACACGCTCATCAAGGCCGGGAGAATCCACCAGGTGAGAGAGATGCTAAATCGAAAAACTCTGGGGGAGTTCGTGCACAGTGAGTTCACGTATGGAACTCTCGTCCACGGCCACTGCCTTGCCGGGGAGTTCGACGAGGCAAAGAGGCTTGTGGAGGAGTTCAAGGATACAGGGATGAGCCCTGGGAGCTTGGTCGTTCTCCACAACCTCATGCTCAAAGGTTTCTCCGAGGCTGGCTTTGTGGACGAGGCCAAGAGCCATCTCCACCGCATGGATTGCAAGCCCAACAGCGTCTCCTACAACACGCTCATTGATGCGCTGTGTAGCTCCGGGAGGATCCAGGAGGCCCGTGAAGAGCTCCAGGCCATGGCCAAGCGAGGCGTGGCTCCAAACCGGGTGACTTACAACGCGATGGCCACGGGCCTCGGCAAAGCTGGCCTGCTCGACGAGGCTTTCGAGCTCATGGGAGTGATGGAAAGCGCTGGTTTTGCTCTGACAGCTGTGACTTTCAATCCGGTGGTGGAGTTTCTCTGCAAATCCGGGAGGCCGGACGAGGCATGCAAGGTAATGGAGACGATGCTTCTCAGGAACATCGAGCCCAACATTCTGACGCTCAACTTGATCCTCCACGCCTTCTGCAAGGCGGCACGGCCCGAGGAAGCGCTCGGCATGACGGACATCATGGTGGAGATGGGATTCTGCCCGACCATCGTCACCTTCAACGCGCTACTGGAGCTGTTCTGCAACACCGATCAGATGGACAGCGCCGCCAAGCTCCTGGAAACGATGGCGCACAGCAAGTGCAAGCCAAACTTCGTGACTTACAGCATCATGGTCCAGAAGTTTGCAGAGATGGGGAGAATGGTGGAAGCTCGAGCGTTCCTGGAGCAGCTGGTGGTGTGTGGCTACGCTCCCAATCTCCTGGTGTGCAATGCCTACGTCGCGGGGCTTTGCAAAACCGGAGAGATGGATCTGGCTTCCAGATTTCTCACGGTGATGGCGGAGGAGGGGTGCCGAGCAAACACCGCGACTTACAACAGCCTTGTGGAGGGGTTTTGCAAGCTCGGCAGGATGGACGAGGCGGAGAGGGTCCTCGAGGAGATGATCGCCGAGGGAAGCCTTCCGGACTCGACCACTTACAGCGTTTTGATCCAGGGGCTTTGCAGCGCTGGACAGATCGAGCACGCGTTCATGGTGATGCTCCAAGTTACTCGGGCGGTGGAATCAGCGAGGCCGGATCCAGCCACCTTTGTCAAGCTGATAGAGAAGCTGTGTGAATTGGGAGAGATGGACAGGGCCGCTCTTGTGCTCGAGAGAATGGGAGACGAGCACGAAGAGTTTCGTGTATGCCAAGTTCTCATCTCAAATAGTCAACATTAGCAGAACCTTGGTCGTCAAACTGGAAGTTTAGATTAGTCTAATATAAGATTACATCATCCGTTTTATACCGGAGCGCGAGTGCTGTCGCGCGCCGAGGATTTTCAGGCTCCAGAGCAATGCAGAGGGATACAGGCCAGTCGTGCTCTCTGCGCACCGCAACGTTGTCAATGGCGTGAGAGCACCGGGGGCGGGATCTGCGCTTAATAGTTTCTCCAAGGATGCTGTGTCACTGGGTGTGGCTCAAGAGCTTCCAGCTCCCGCGCTCGATGGTGGTGGCGATCAAGGAAAGTCGAGGAAGACATAGCTTCGTAAGGTATTTGCTTGGATGACTTGATTCCTCGGTTTTCACACACTTACCAATCAGGAAGAATCCGATGGCCAGCAAACGGAGAAGAGAAAGCTACCAGTTCTACGTCCGGATAAAGGGCAGTGGCAGCTCGTGAAGAAGCACTTGTTCCACCAGCATGGAAGGAACATCGTGGTTGCATCTACCAAATGCCCGACTTTACGTGCATACAGCTGCTATCGATCTCCAAAGAGAAGATATCACTCTCTTCTTGCGCCGTCGCTTATGCCTTTCTCGTGTGTTGCAGTTGTGGAATGCTGCGTCTGGATTCTGTTTCGTCACTTTTGCCGAGCACACAAATGCAGTGACTGCAGCGTTGTTCTTGGCCAAAGTAATGCCGTGCATCTCTCGATGGTACTGTACGTGCATGGGAGCTGATGTGCTATCGGAACTTCCGGACCTTCACCACCCACGCAGTTTGTGTCATTGGCTGCAGACAAAAGTGGAGAGATCATCTGTGCTGGAACACACATTCCAGGTATCTTGTCGCTGTCTACTCGATTTCCTTTTTCTCGATTCATTTCAAGCTTTACTGTTCGTGCTAGATATACGTTTGGTCTATGAAAACAGCGCGGCTAGTGGATGTCTTCGGTGGTCATGAGGGACCGGTTCATGGTTTGGCCTTGTCTCCTACAGACGTGCGTACTCCTACGCGACAATCTTTTCCACTTTCTAACACGTCTTGACAGGAGTTCTTGGCTTCCTCGTTGAAACCTTCACTCATACACATGACCTGCTCACCGTGGTTTACCGTCCGGACGGAAAGTAACTGGCCTGCTCAACACTTGATGGTCAGATCCACTTCTGGGACCCCATTAACAGAGTGCTAATGGGCACGATACAAGGCAGGCGTGACGTTGCTGGAGTGAGATTGATGAGTGACAGAAGAACGGCCGCTAACTCGAGCTCGGGCAAATGCTTTACGACCATGTCTTACTCAGCCGACGGCAGCCTACTGCTTGCTGGAGGAACCAGCAAGCACATTTGCATGTACGACGTCGCGGACCAGGTATTTATCACGCACAAGCTCGCTTGGCTTTCATGCTTACGACATATCGTCTGTGCACGTTTTGCTACGAAGGTTTCAGATATCTCACAACTATTCGTTGGATGGTGTTCTGGCTCGAAGAGAATGACTGCAGCAGGTCCTCAAGATCTGATCGATGACTATGACAGGCCGGTGTCGATGGTCCAAGTTGACTATAGATCTGACGCAGGAACTACCAGGGGCACAGACCAACACTGCGAGGCCAATTATACACACCAAGTGCCTCAGGATATCTCCAACTGGCAGGACTTGGGCAGCTGCAACAACGGAAGGCCTACTCAATGGACAACCTTGTTTTTTATCCCACCGATCTCGATGTGGATGTCACACCGGAGGTACGATTGGTCTTTACGGGCTCACTGGATGTGAAGCTTTTGTTGCCATTTCTGTAGGCAATCAATGATGCGCTGGAAAGCAAGCGTTATTCACGAGCACTGATGCTGGCACTCCGGTTGAACGAGGCGCTGCTGATTCAGAGATGCGTGGAGGCCGTAGACGTCTCTGCGATCAGTGGTGTTGTCTGCAACGTTTCACTTTCGTACCTTGGAGATCCACTTGTGCAGTACCTGGAGAAGACACCTCATTTGGAGTTCTTACTGGTATGAATCCAGTTAGAAGGAAACATGTACTAAGTTAGCTTTGTTACAGGAGCTTTGCATTGGCAGAACAATCCAGTCGAAGAACAGGGAGCTCATGCCCGCTCTCAAGTCCCTATCTTGCAGCAACAACCGCCTCCAAAAACGACTACCTTCTCCATTACCTGTGCTCGGCCCCAACTAAGAGCAAGAGCGCGGAACAAAGCTCTGATAAGGGACGCGCTGCTTGGGCTTGAGAACTGAGGTGAAGTTATTTTTTCTTTTATTTGAATGTGAACCAAACAATTTCACGTAGGTGAGGTGGGATCCTTGCTGAGCTCCTCCGTGCCTTGGAAAAGGAATGACAACAGCAGTAGGTTTTACAGTAGTGCTGCTTTGATTTGCTCCTTGAGTGCTCCAGGATCCATCTGACACGAGCAAGCACGAAGAGGAGATCAGAGCTGCACAGCTCTGAGCATCTGCCTCGAAACTCTCTGCACTCTCAGGTGCTGGAGTCGTCGGCCCAACCATCCCGCTGCTGCTCCACGTCAGGAACCACAGCCTCAAGTGCGTCCCGGTGACTACGGTAGCACCTCTTGGAACCACACCTGTCCGGCTTGCGGCACCACTCTCTCCTGCGAGTCGACCTGTCCGGGGTCCGTGGGGATCACTTGCATGGCCGTCTGCGTCTCCACCGCGATGATCCCAACTGGTATCCCCCCGTCACGTCCGAGCCCACCCCTCGAGCGTCCTGGCGACGCTCATCCAAGCGCTGCCACCCTCGGAGTTGTATACTCCGGCCACTGCGTCTGTGACCGTCGATGGAAGTTGACACTCCTCTTTCCACGGTTTGATGGACCAGCAAAGGTATGGACGTTTTGTATCCTTTTTGGCCAAAAAGGATACAAAACGTCCTTTTTGGTAAAAAGGATTGAACCAAGATAAAATACTATTCTTGTAGGGCTTTTGGGAAGGGTTTGGGTGGATTGATCGATGGTGCTTTTGTTTCCTAGTGATGATATCATTTACCACCGAGTGGCGCTCCTTGAGCAGCAATTGGCAGTGGTGGAGCAGCGAGTGACAGTGGTAGAGGAGCGGCTCCAAGAGCTATTGAAGCAATTGCCGCCGATGCCGCCGCCTCCTCTGGATGGCTCCTCATCCATGGGACCCATGGACGACGATCGTGGGCACATCTCCTCACCCATAGACTCCCGGACCAGCGAGACCAACTCCGCCATGAACTCCCAGACCAGCGGTGGTGGCGTCGACAGCAGCGGAGGCGACAGTGGTAGAGGCAAGAGCATGCTGGGTGAGGAGACACAATTGCCACCACTGCCACCGTCCTCACCACGACCACCACCACTGTCACTACCACTGCCACCATCCTCACCACCACCACCACAGGGGACGGGGACAAAGAATAGCACAGGGGCAAAGAATAGCACAGGGACTAGGACCACCACTAGCACCATCACCAGCGTTATAACTGAATTGGGATCATGGATTCTTCTTCATGTTATCATCAGCATCATAGCTAGATTGGGATTAACAAGTCTTCTTCCTGTCATCACCAGCATCATAACTGGATTGGAATCATCGACTCTTAGCTGGATCATCGCCAACATAGTAGGAACGTTTATGATATTAAAAGAGCTCAATCGCCACATTTATGATATTAAAAAAGCTAAAAGTATGTAATTAGGAGTGTAAGAACTAAGAACCCCAGATTGTGAAAGTTATTGTGCTGGCAAGAACAAGAATATTATATTTGATGATCCCAAAACACCTATAATTTATTAATTTATCTGCAAATTATTTATAATATACTCAAAATAATATAACTTAATAAAGTAAATATAATTATCAAATATTATTGTTACAATGAAATATCACCCGAAAGACCCGGGTTCAATTCCCGGCAACGGAAATTGATTTTCTAAATAATAAAGTTATAGCGGTATTTTATTTGATTTAAATGTAAGTTTAATATTTCTTATTGGGCACAAGATGCACCTGAGCTGTGAATCTGCCCGCAAATTCGAGTTCAGTACATAAAAATTTATTTTAATTTTTTTGTCAAAATAAACTTAAATCACACTAATCTGGCTAGTTTTTTATTTACTAAAATATGTTTAGATATTTTAAGATATTTTACCCATGCTCAAATACTTTGGTATATTACGAAATAAATAAACCCCTGAATAAAATTTCACTATCAGAATCTTTGGGAATTCTAACATCCATTTTTATTCTTAGGAATCCAGTTTTTTTAGAAAACATCAGTCGTGTTGCTATGCTGAGAAGACTCCTGCGCTGGGCACCGTAGAGTCAAGTGGTCAAGGAACGTGATCACTTGCATTGAGAAGTCGTAGCTAACTTCCAGACTTACGCATTCCGGGCAAATGCTGCAACCGAGTTCCTTCCCGCTTTTTAGGGTTCTTGTTTCCCTCGCAGCGGCATAGATGTTGATCATAAGCAGCAGCGCCTTATCCTCGTCACAGCAGCGCATCGAACGCCAGGCGCCCCACGGTGGGGTTCGACCGCAATGTAGGCTCAAAGGTGAGCCCCTTGGCTTGCCTCTCGTGGCTGCTATCCAGGACACGACATCGTGCTGCACGAAAACATATCGGTGTAGCTTTCGAGTGCAAGGCCGCCAAGGCACTGCACTTTGACGAGCCCGCCGTGGATCTCTTCGGTGTCCTTCTCGGTAAGCTTGGTACACGCCGCCATGATCTTTGGTATAGCAAATCATACGCTTCAAGTGATCGAGATCGATGCCTCGTATGTCGAAGCTCTCAACACCAATCGCAACAGGCCAGAGCGCTGATCACCGCTGAGTATATAGTGCGGCTCCGCTTGTATCGATCAACACCACGAGAACTTCCACAATACTCGAAGTTGGTGCCTCGTCGGACGTTCCGACAAGTTTACCAGATCTTCCTGGCCACTTCGAGGTAGCTTTTGCGACAGAGTTTGAGGACAAAGTGGCCTCGGGAGAAGTTTCTACGGAAATCGAGAAATGAGGTGGTGATAACGAACGTCCTCTGCTGTCCTCCGGACGCACCAGAGGAAAGCTGACAGTGGTCTGAGGGCCAGGCCGGAGCATCCATGAACATAAGCTACGTCCACCCGACTCCTGTTTTCGACTACACTCCTCCTGCCAGTCTCAACGCTGTCCGGGGTAGTATAGAACGAGGATGCAGGTTATTCTTCAAGGGACCAGCCTTTCTCACCCCATGCACCTCCATGGTTTCGACTTTTTCGTGGTCGGACGTGGGCTTGGAAACTTGGCTTCGACGTTTAATCTCTTGGATCCTCCTAGGCACTGCTTGATGGGTGAGATTCTTACTGATCCCGGTACGTTCGTTCCGTGGAGCTCTTTCACGACGCTGCTGGTTTTCTAGGTGCTTGGTATTTTCATTCCCATCCTTCAACGTCGGTGAGACGTCGCAACAGCTTATCCCTCCTGTCGTCTAAGGTACCTTTTATGAAACATTAACACTGTTTATTTGGTGCAAGGCTTTTGGATATTGTGGGAGCATCCTCTATACTACAGTTCAGTTTTGTTGCTTGCAGTGAGGACGCGCCGTCGATGTCGATTTATTCAAATCGATACACTTGCTTCGAGGGCTTGTGGAACAAAGTCGAAAATGCGGCTCTTCTTATTTGTGTTCTTTGTGTGTTACTGCAAAGGAGATGTTTCCAGCTCGTTGAAGGTTTGCTTCTTGTTACTTTCTTTTGATTATTAACCGTCTTGCAGCCGTATATTGTGTACCTTGGAGGTAAAAAGGGGATATCTGCCGACACACTGACCACAACTCACTATGATCTTCTCGTGAAAGCAACCGGAAGGTTTGATAGTAGCAGTCTGATCCAAGATTTTTTACTTTTCTGGTCTCTAGCATGGAGGTGGCCTCAGCAGCGATGATCTATAGTTACAAGTATGTATTTAGCGGATTCTCTGCCAGACTTACAAAAGAACAAGCTGATAAGCTATCCAGTACGTGCCGGCAACATTAGTACTCTCTTACATAACAGTTTCTTTCCTGTTCTGTAGGAATGCCGGAAGTTCTCAGTGTTCATCCCAACAGAGTTCGTCGGCTCTTTACAACTCGCTCGTGGGATTTCTTGGGCCTTCCGATTGACGCAGAGTCAAAAGCAGCAAGTCTGTTGTCCAAGCATAGAATTCTGGATGAGGACTCCAGTGATGTAATAATTGGAGTCCTTGACACAGGTATGAGGAAATTTGCTGGATCACACTCTTACACAGTGCACAGGTATATGGCCTGAATCCAAAAGCT